GGAGTCTTCCCGTCGAGAACAGGTTCAATCCTTTGAGCCCAGTCGCTCCACAGGCTGAGCCGAGTCGTGGGTCCTTGAAGCAGTGAGAAACTGCTTTAAAGTGCATACTAGTAGTAACAAGTGCATCGCTTCTAGTAACAAGTGCCTTACTAGTAGTAACAAGTGCTCGCTACTGGTAACAAGAAGCTACTAGTAGCTTAAGTCCAAGTCTAAGTACCTACTGGACATCTACCTATAATTACCTATACCTACCTTTATATACAAAGCGTACCTCCTGAATGCTGAGATGACGAGGATCATGGTAGATCTAAGTGGAAGTCGAAGAGCAGAGCTCGCAAAAGGGAACAATCCAGGACAATGTCACAGTAGTTCGCATTTTGCAGCAGCGCGTGGCTTGGGTACTGAAAAAGCCTATAGCCCCAGCACATAGAAGGAGATCCAGTACCCAAAGTGACAGTAGCTAACATTTAGTTTCAATATATTCCGACTTCTTGGAAGTCATATTGATGTTCTTCGCTTGTTGTTTCAGTACTGCCCGCCTGATGGTGAAGAGTCGAGGTCTGACATTCCCCTGTGCCCTTTTCAGGTGCGGCCCCAGCTCCGAGAACACCTCGAGGCCATTTAGACGAGACCGCGCTCTCAAATACTCCAGTTGCATCCACTTTCCATGTTCGTATATATATAGTATGCATGCATGCAGACAGACAGAGAGAGCCAGACATGCATACTGAGACAGACAGACAGACAGACAGACAGACCGACAGACAGACAGACAGGCAGGCAGGCAGCCAGCCAGCCAGGCAGACAGACAGACAGACAGCCAGCCATGCATGCATGCATGCATACACACACACACACACGCACACACATACATAACTAACATACATACAAACACACATACCAACATACATACAAACAATCAAACATACAGACATACAAGCATACATGCATACATATGTGCATGCATAACAAAAAACAAACAAACAAGCAGACAGACAGACATACACACACAATCATACATACATACATACATACATACATACATACATACATACATACATACATATACATACACATACACATACACATGCACATGCACATATACATATACATATACATATACATTTACATTTACATTTACATTTACATTTACATTTACATACATACATACATATATATATAATATATATATATATATATTCATAACAAACAAGCAAGCAAGCACGCAAGCAAACAAACAAGCAAACAAAAGCATCCATCCATCCATCCATCCATGCATGCATGCATGCATCCATGCATATACACACACATACATACATACATACATGTGCCATGAAGCCCCGTCAGTTGAGCTTCTCGACAGCTGACATACAAGACTCTCGATCAGCGGCCATGACACCCAGCCGCACACCAGCAGCCACCACGGCGCCAAGATCAGCGTACATGCCCAATGAACAGGCTGCAGAGGCACCTAAAGAAGAGTCCTTGGAGGATGACCCTATGCTGGAGGTCGACTTCTTGTAGTACCAGAACCTGCGGCAAGGGCCCAGCACGCAGCAGAAAAGACACCCCTTTAGGAAAAAACACACATACACACCTCGATAGGGTTCATTCAGAGCGATAATCCAACGGAAGCTAGTTATTGAATACTTAGCATTCTAGTTTCTGAATACTTAGCACTTGACTCGACAAACGGAAAGGTGGTAGGTCAGCATACTTTTAGGTGTTTAAACAAGGTATTCCGGAAACTAGCTACTGAATGCTTAGCACTCCTGAATCAATGGCATGCATAGAGATTAGACTAGTGCAGGTACATGGGACTGGCCACGTCCCATATCCCGCGATATCACCCAGATTCGTTGGTCAACGTTGGTGATTTCGCGCCTTGACCCCCTGCATGATTAAAACCATTGGAATCAGGGTGGGGCACACACAAAGTGCTGTACTGGCGTTAAGAAGGTAACAACGCAGTAGGCAGCTTAAGAACTACTCAGGTTCTATAAAAGTGAATACTTAGCCCTTGACTAGAAAAGACGAATACTTAGCACTTGACTAAAATGAGCCTGGCTACATACCTGAAAAGCCTCTAGTCAAAAGGCAAACCTAGAAGGAGACACGAAGGCAAGAGAGAAAGAAACGAAGCCGAGAGCCTCAAGAGCATTCTGACAAGCCTGAAGACACACCCACCTAACAAACGAAGAAACCGCAAGAAAGAAAGAGGGTAGGGGTGGGGTGGGGTGGGGTTCATTCTCCGTAAGCCCGGCGGCATTGATTCTCCGTGAGCCCGGCGGCATAAATTCAGTTTGCCCGTGCAGATCAGAGAAGCAGTTAGAAAAATCTAAGCAGAACTGTGGAGCTGTTAATGATAATCCACGATGGTTTCAGCACCCCTCGCGGGGATCACACTACGCGCCAGAGTGGGAAGGCGCAGCAGTTCACACTTCGATAGGATTCATTCAGAGCGATAATCCAACGGAAGCTAGTTACTGAATAAGAAGCACTTGACTCGACAAACGGAAAGGTGGTAGGTCCGCATACTTTTAGGTGTTTTAACAAGGTATTCCGGAAACTAGCTACTGAATACTTAGCACTCCTGAATCAATGGCATGCATAGAGATTAGACTAGTGCAGGTACATGGGACTGGCCACGTCCCATATCCCGCGATATCACCCAGATTCGTTGGTCAACGTTGGTGATATCGCGGTTTGACCCCCTGCATATTGTTACCATTGGAAACAGTGTGGGAACCACGCGCGTACATACATACATACATACA